AGTCCCAAGAAGGGCGAAACCGGTCGTGGGCTGTCGGCAGATTTTCAGCAACCTTACGAGTAGTACATTACAAAGATATACGTAGATCAAGGATATTTGTTGTAGCCATAGGTTTACGTATTTCGAATTTGTACACGGAGACGCTTTGCACGGACAAGCCAGACAGTTGTATACCAAACTCAAGTGTCTCTCGACAAAATGAGGTTGCTTGATCCCCGTCTATACAATTTCATGAGAATGTTTCCAATGTCTGTTAGCCGAGGATCGTGTTCAAAATCCCAGCTGTTCTTTACAAAGCAACGCTTCGTGTACCATGTTTAGGGGGGATTCACCTCACATGCTCACCCCGATCGCACTGATCAAGTCATTATCCGTATCCTTCCGACGTCAGTTGTCTAAATCCCCTTTCGTTGCTGGCCCGATTTTAGTCGCCACAACTGCTCAGATCGATCAGTTGTCAGACTTGCTTACCGATGTGACCTTGGGCCCAAGGGTCCCGATGGTCTACACATCCCCCTCTACCAATCGTGTGTTCCAGTCAATCAGTTTCCGGCCTTCTCTACTTTTCTCCGGCGTTGCTTTGTTGGTGTTCGCATCAGTGCCGGACTCCCTTCCTCTTCATTTCAACCCCCGTCGTGTGCAATGCTTTTTCACGGGGTTTCGAGGATCGTTAGACCAGGAAGATTCAGACTAGACAGCTGTTTTCTGTTTTCGTTTGATCATCCGTGGTAGTCTAATATCATAGAATTTGTGGTGAATTTGTTTCGATCCGACTCGAAACATATGTCCGCGCGAAGCACCGGTCAGATGCCCGTAACAACCGATATTCTGGCGAAAAAAATTCACATTTTGAGAATGAATGGTTTGCATGACTAGGAGTGAATAAATCTCATTACTATCATCTGATAAGTAGTCAAATATGTAAACGTCTTACAGTCATTCCCGTCCGTGCTAGCTGTTCTGAAGACTGGTGTCTGCCCAAGTTCCGTAAAATTCAAGCGGCTGACGAAGGTCTATGTTTCTGGTTAAATTATTTCATTCCCCACCATCCACGTTATTATTTGGTTGCCATGTCCTCGAATGACACATTATCGATCAGCTTAATAGCAAACATGGACACTAAGTTTCATTTTTATCTATCTCTGTTCCTCAGTTTGCCACTAACCAGGAAGCATGGTTCCCATGGTCATTATGTTTCTAATCTCTTAGCGCACTCAGGTCATTTAGACTGTCCAACGATGTACCGAGGCACTCAAGCCCCTCATTAGTGGAAGATTTGTGGTTCTGGCAAGCCTGAGTGCACGACGTCGAATTCAATTTCCGTCACTTCCCGGGACCTTACCACACATGGCCGTCTGGTTCAGGGCGTAACAGCTACGGTAACAAAAGCAATGCGAATCCTATCATCTAAAGAAAACCATGTATCATGATGTTATTACTTTCTGCTCACTTTCTGCTCAAACTAAAAGCTTGGTTTCTTTTTTTCAATGACAGCCTAATAATATGCATCGTTTCAGATGGTGCAGGTGGTTCCGAAATTTTCGTGTTTCTGCGGCTCCGTCTTAGAATAACTCGCAGTTCCTTAGTGTGTACCGAAGATGTTTTCGCAGCCAGACGCTAACCGAAGGAAACCATGTCTATACAGCCCCTAATGTATGCCAAATACTTGGAGACGATTGTGTCTGATTCCCCCTAACTGGCTTTGTTATTTGTCATGTCATTCATTTATGCTTCCGTGATTTTCTGCCTCAGCTTTAGCAGTAGTTAATGCCAAAAACGCGTTCCATGCGAATAAGTAGAGGTAAAAATGGCGGTGTTTGACAGGTGAGTTTCTCAAAGTATTCCAGGTGACCGTGTATCGTTTTCTGGATGCAAAACTCTGTGCTTTTTACACCGAAAGTCTCTGATCGAATCTAATCTCTGGTGCCTAGGAATGGTCTTATGTCGTTTTACACTGATGTTTTGTAGCGTTTGAGTCTTGATGTCCCTTTCATGAACCATTATTGCGAACGGCGTTGCATGAGACGTGCCATGATTTTTCATCCACCGTTCATTACAGTGGTCACGGCGACTTTCAAAAATTTCTCTCCATAGACAGAAATTTATGGAGATGCTAAATTGTTTGAATAAATCTGTATATTTGATTCAGTGAAGCGCTTTGACAAAATAATTGGTCGCACTATCAAGGTTACGTGATCATCTGTCAGTCTCCGCTGCGGGGCCCATTAGCCGCACAATGCTCTCAGCTGCAAAACATTTGCGATTGGGATAAAACTTTTCTACGTCAAAATGCTGCATTTTGTTGCCTATGTGCTCAGACAAAAACTTTCTTAATCTACGTTCATATTTTTGTGGCTCACCGAATTTAACTGTCTACCGAAGCAATCATATCTCTGGCGGAAAAAGTCTGGTGGAATACATTCCCAAAATGGCTGATATACCGGGATGCCTAGATGGGGCTCAAAAGATTGAACTCGTACTCTGAACTCAATTGTCTGCCTCTTTTAGTCCAACAGGGACACTTCGTAGCTTTCGAAAATTAATTCTATTGCGAGAATATCGAGCGCCCTCCGCTGCCAACAAATTTGGTCAACTGTCAGGAAACGCCCAGGCATGAAAAAAAGCATGTGTGCAGAGAATGACGCATCCCCAAGGTCATCATCGGTGCCACACTTTCCGGATAGCATGTGCGTTGGCGGATCCTACCAAACACGGCTTGGCAACATACAACCAGTGAAGTGGGACTGAAATTTTCATAAAAGAAACTGCTCACAAGGTTGCTGAAAACTTTTCGACAGCCCACGACTGGTTTCGCCCTTCCACTTCGGGCTCATCAGGTAGGCGCAGTCCTCGGGTTTCCGTCAACCTTATGATCTACTTGAACCCAAATTGGACTGTTTGTTCACGACCGAAACACGGCCATTGGCTGTACAGGACGAACAAGCGAACAACCATATTTGGTCATCTGATCATCCTATCTATTTACGCAGAAGCTCTGTATGTTTTGTCCTGACAATACAGTGGTGTCCAGGGTTCTCTGTCTTCTCCTTATCGCGCTGTCTGACGGGCTCAGTGCAAGCGTAACCGATAGACGGCCACCCATCTTACAACATCAACTTAAATACCGCCTTGCCAGTGAAGCCAATGTACACGGAAGAGCTGAAAAACATTGTGGACCTGTTTCATCATTATCAATTTGGCGGGAGTTTCGAACAAGTGACTTCCCAGTTAAGGACGTCCCCGCACCGGACATAATCCGTGTCACTGCCGCCAATCAACTTCAGTTTTATCATTAGTCCCATTTTACTGATGATCCCCCTTGGGATGAAACTGAGGTTCGAATACAGCAGATGTTGAGTTTACTTGATCGCTGAGTATGTTTTGAACAGTACTCAGATTGTCCAGTCAACAAAGCGTGCAAAAATAAGGATATCATGGGTGACTTGATCGTTTAGTTCAAGTATACCGCCAGTGCGACTGGAACTGGATGGAACCAATTGTAAAACTGAGTGAATCAGGCTGAGTTCATGCACAAGCTATGGCGCCGTTCGAGAGAGAAAGAGAGAGGGTGTGTGTGTGTGTGAACTAGAGCAAGTCCAGGCTGACACTTCAATTTGGAGAGTTGACTCACAAAATGATTTCAAAATAAGAAACAACCTTCAGTTTAATGAGCTTTTCTGAAGCGACATCACCTGCGACATGATCGTATGATGAACACTACTTCCAGTCATCTGTTCCTCAAACGTTTCGCTCGTAGGAGTTACAACTGCCAGAACAGACATGTGCGCACGAGTGTGTGTAATTTGATTCATCGTTACTTATTTACTTGTGTTTATGTCCAAGGCTACTAATTTGATATTTCGCTCATATTCATGGACTGTGCTGACTAGTCTGCGTATGATTGCCGAATTTTACAATTCAGGTGAAAAACAGTTTGATCAATCTGAGTGTAGCTGTTTGAAGGGGTCATGATCACGTCATTATTTCAGCATAATTTCTAACAAAGTAATCAAGAAACGTTGACTGTTGTAGAAATTTTGGTGTCATGCTGATCATCCTTGTAAGAAGGGATAGCAAATTGTGAATTACACGACAAGAATTTGATTTATAGTGTTTTGTGTGAACTTGACTATTCAAAATAATCGATCGTCTGAATAAACTGCTTCCGTATTTCGTTGGTTTGTAAGTTGATCGCCTTTACCTGGAGACGTGAAGACCTTGAGTCATCCAGTGACACTGTTCTAGTCAATAGATACATACCTTTTCGACCTTGGTCACAGACACCCACCAACAAGTTATGACCTAGTCTGCGTGATTTGATCTGCTCAGAAATTCCGGCCATACAGTGGCGGTAAGTCCTTGCAAAAACAAACTGGTTTGCCACACATTTTATGGCCTTTTCCAATACCGGGACATTTTGGAGAAGAGACTGCGTTTGGTTTTATTACCATGGTACCGGTCAACGTTTGCTTCCAGGTGAGATGGGCACAAAGATGAATTGACGAGTTAATGGAAGGTTTGAGCGCATCGCTTTGTCAGTGGTCGTTTGATTTGTCGTCACCTGTTCATGGTTGAAGGACGCGTGGTACGAAGATGTAACTCGAAACTTTTGGAAACAACTGTTTTTCGGAGACGATAATTTATTTCTTATTCAGTGACGATATTTTTGAAGATAAACCTTAATGTATTCAGCGACCATGTGGTGCTCAGTCCAGCTTTATGCAACGGCCAAGAAAACGTTGCGTGAAGTAATCAGTCAGCTCATGATGACCGATTTCAGATGACTAAATGTTTCAGAAATTAATCAAACTCTTCCAAATTCTACCTCAGATTTGATTCTGGATCTTGAACCTCTTAACAACAGTCGGATTATTCATGGCTGCCGGTTGAAACAAGGCCGATTGCACAGGATCTAGTGACCTGACGAAGCAGTAACGCTCCGGGATCGGTGATCAAAATAGGTGCCTCATCACTTCTCTAGCACAGCGAGGGCTCTCAAAGGATACCACTGAAGCTTACACCTAGACACATTGAGGAAAGAGCGATCGAGTCTTTTGTCGCAAAAAGCGATGCTTCCTTAGTGGTGCATATCAACACATTTCACCCCTTAGAATGGATCCCGTCGTGGGCAGTTGATGATGATCTGTACAAATTAGGGCATTTGGTTGAACTTTGGGGATAGGAGGGACCATGAAAATCCAACTAGAACACAGGTTTCCGGTAGCTGACATAAATGTTTGAGTCTACACCAACTGATACGAACTCTAATGGTCCAAATTTAACCCTGAACCCTTGCTTTTGTCTGGAACAGATAAAGTCTCAGTCCGGTTTGAGTTATACGCCGCTATAAATCGCAGACCGGCAGCAGTGCTGAACGGTTGGATTTTGTGTGACGTTTTGATTCAAAGGTGGGTCTCTCTTGATCTTGGTGTTTTTCCATGAATCTACAGTCTTTTAAGTGGAGGAGTTTTATCTTTCACAGTGACGATGATTAAACTGTCTTCTTCTAAAAAGAGAACAGTGGTTCTTTTGTTGGAACCTTACAAGGCCGAACAATGCTCCGCCATCTAACCGTCCTAAGCATATTGAGCTTCCCTAAATTTGCTTGTCTAGACGGAGACATGCCCCAGTCAACTGTGTTCCCTCAGAGGGACAAATTTAAGTATTGGCTGAGCCACACTCACAGTGTTATACGCAGCAAATAATATATCAGCGTCATATGTTACCGCAAACTTCCGCTGATGAAATCGACTCCAACTGAGTCTACCTCAGACAAATGAATCACTGGGAGAATGCATAATTTTACGAAACCAAAATCAAGGCTTTGTTTATTCCACTCACTCTCATGTCGTGCTATTGTTCAAAATACATCGTGCGTTAGTCCAACTATACTGTATAACTGTTATATCTGCTGATTCGCCGACCTGTGGTATCTGCTGCTGACCCGCTCGAGTGCCTAATGCCGGAGAAAAAAGACTCACAGAAGGGAATACAACCGCCATATTCCGAACAAGCGAGTGCGAGATCAAGAGTTATAGCGGCCCCACGATATTTAAAGGAGACTTTTTGACATTGATCCAGGTTGTTTGATAGGCGTTAGTGAACACCCATCAACATCGATCGTGCCTCTGTGAAAAGCCTGAACGCTGATCACATTCGGTCCTGCTTCTGTGGCGTGCAAGATCACTCATCAGCTTTTGCTGAATAGATTGAATGACTGACTGGCCTGGATGCTTGCCGGCTTTCCCGTTGAGATTTTGGTGGAGCAGTAGGTTCCGGCGTGTTCTGAGTTACCTTCAGGAATCTAACCTTCCTGATAATAACACCTGATATGAAGGGTGAAAAACTAACTTACCACAACTATTCTTTTGACCTCTGCTTGCAAAATCAAGTGTTGTCCTGAAGAGATCAGCAAATCTGTCAGTCATCGACAAAGGCGAGCAAGTCAACTGGAAAAAAGAGGGATGTGTTTCAGTGGTTAGAGCGCAACGTTACTGGCCGCGACGTTCGTGTTTCGAAGCCGACCTCTACTTCTCGACTTCCCCTGTCTAGGTTTCCGCAGCCTGGAAGTCTCCTGGTGCTGCCTTTGGACGGCATGGCAGTTAGGCACCTAAAGGGCGCTACATTTCTCAGCAACCAAAGAAGAAACAGCTTATCAGCATTCTCTTAAAGCGAACAGAAGAAATTAGCACAGTATTGACAGCAGTGTTCACGTTTTTTGCAAAGGAAACTACTCACAAATTTAGCGAACTTTCTAGAGACCGGAACCCATCTGAATCTCTCGTTTGTGATGTTCTCAGGCAACTGAATGTGCTGCATTGGGCCGCCTCATGCTTCAGTTCAGTTGATATTCGAGATATCGCGATACGTGTATATATTTGTAGCGTACTACTCATAAGGTCGACGGATTTTCAGCAAACTTATGACTAGTACGTTACAAATATACTCAAAAAGTTGCTAAAAACTGTTAAACAGCCCATAACTGGCTTAGCCCTTCTTGCGGGCTCGTCAAGGGGTGCGGTCCCAGGGTGTCCGTCGAAATCAGTCCAGTTTGTGTTCAAACAGAGCAAGCATAACGTTGATGGAAACGATGGGGGACTGTACCTACCTGATGAGCCCCAAGAAGGGCAAAACTGGTCGTGTGCTGTCGACGAGTTTTCAGCTAACACATAATTCATGTTGGGCTCATTCAACTTTCTTTCCTCTTGTGATAGGCATGTTTATTTTTGAATGTTTACACAGAATATAGTAATCGATTTGAGAATGAATCTACCCAACGATTTTTCTGGTAGGGAGCAGAGGAACTGGTTTTTATAAGAGGACATCAGGGCTACGAAAACGTACGCTAATGACAGTTTTGTTCTGAAAATTCCAAGTAATATTCACAAAAACCTCATCTTGTACTTTACGTTGCTGTACTCATGTTCAGATTTTGATAAGGTATCTGAGAATTTCGACGACATCGTGGGTTTGGGCTCGTCAGATGTGCGTTCAGAGGCTGTTGAGTTTGTTCGGCTTTCTTGTTGAAGCCAGTGAAGTGTTTTGTTGATCTAATCACAACTGCCGATTCAGAATATTCCATCTATTCTCACCTCCGAGTTCCAGTGTTCAAGGGCATTAGAAAGGCCTACGGGCGAAATTGTCATGAGTAACCTGCTTTAACGATGAGG